AGTAATAAATTGCAGACTGTCGTTAAGTGTGTATATAAATCGGGACGTTTCGCGATCGGAATCGCGACGTTTCAAATAATAAAAACGAACCGTTCGAGTTTCCTATAAAACTTCTAATTAAAATTACCACCTCCGGGGCAGAGTTTGCAATTTTAATAACGGAAGTTTGGCGCCCGCGGGAACTCGGAACCATTCGAGAGTTTTTAAGAATATCGAAAAGAAAAATCAGTCGAACTGCAAATTTGCACGATGTTTTTAAAATCGTAGACGCCAATTTCTCGGATTTTGACTTTCGGATACAGCTATTTATCTATTAAATAATTAACTCGTTTTTTAATTATACTTGTTATTGAAATAGATTATAAACAGCTTGACTAACACTATTTACAATTCTTATTGATTTCTCCTGCGTCGGGTGTCGATGAATCAACTTTCTGAAGTTTCTGCAGAGTTTAACTGAAACTGACATTCTACTCTATTTCTGTTCCTATAGTGTCATATAAGTCTAGGATTTTTCTTTGGTAGAGAGAATTGATTAAATTCAAGAATTTTAGTTTTTAGTTAGTTAGATGGCGATGTCCGGTTTATGACGATGTTCGCCAACTGCTGATGAGTTTATTTGTCGTAGTCTTAATGCTTCATCTTCTTTTTAGAATGTAATCGCATAACCTCACCTCCTGGAATCTCGAACGAAATTTAGTCTTTTGTCTTGTCAAACAATTTTTTAGATATAAGGGGTGTTTTTTTTCGATGTATAGAACTTTAAGTTGCAATAAAACAACGATGGATTATTCGATTATCCGAAAGATAATCTTGTGGCATTACATTTTAAATATGATATGTAGTCCAATCTGGACGTCCAATTTTCAAACATTTGTGGCCGTATATCGGCAATAACACGGCGAATGTTGTGTTCCAAATGGTGGCTTATCCGCATAGACCAATGACTTTACATAGTCCCGCAGAAAGTAGTCTAGCGGTGTTAAATCACAAGATCTTGGAGGCCAATTCACAGGTCCAAAACGTGAAATTAGGCGGTCACCAAACGTGTCTTTCAATAAATCGATTGTGGCACGAGCTGTGTGATATGTTGCGCCATCTTGTTGAAACCACATCTCCTGGACATCGTGCTTATTCAATTCAGGAATGAAAGAGTTAGTAATCATAGCTCTATACCGATCACCATTGCCTGTCAAACAGTCAGTTTTTCTGGATGTAACGGTGTTTCGACATACACTTGAGGATTAGCTTCGCTCCAAATGCGTTGTTGACGTAGCCATTCAACCAGAAGTGCGCTTCATTCGACGAATCTACGCCTTACTTGATGATCGTTCGGCTTCAATTCTTGCACGAGTTGGATTTTGTAAGCACGTAAACCAAGATCCTTCCGCAAAATCTTCCATAAAGTGGATGGACACAGATCCAATTCCTGTGCTCGATGGCGGATGGACTCATTCGGGTCTTCCTCAATGCTACGCTCTACAGGAGCAATACCTTCTTCTGTAAGCGCCGGTTAATCGAATTAACTTCTCTGATGGACGATTTTGTCGAGGATAAAATGGACGTACTGCGCGATACGTATTCCGCACAGAACCATTATTTTCGAAATAAAATTGCACTATTTGCAAGCGTTGTTCAGGCGTGAGTCTATTCATGATGAATTGCCAAACCAAACTGAGAATAAAACACTTGACAGCTGTTAAATGGGTCGCCATCTTGAACAGTAATGCCAACTTAAAGTTCTATACATCGAAAATAATAACCCTGTATAATTCATTTTTCATTTACACCATAACAAGCAAATTGTACCAACGTTTTACATAACTCGTAGAGTTAAATAAATAAATAAAACAAAAAAGTCTTTTTTTAATTTGAATTTTATGTTGTAACATAGACACCAGTGAGAGATTTTTTATAGGAAAACCTTGTCGACAACCACACGTAATTAGGTGTAGAGAAAGAAAAATAATTATAAAAACCTTAAAAGAAAACAAAATTGAAGTAATAAGTATGTTTTTTCAGCAAAAGAAATTGATAGCGAAAGCCAAAAGTTGGCAGAATGTTGTTTTTGAAGAACTTACTATTTTCCACTATATCTTCTAGTAGGTCACGGTAGGTACATGATAAGATACGCTTCCAAAACTATCCTTCTAATATAAAATGAACAATCAATTTAATTTACATAGTTTAACCTAATATGTAATTTCATTTAATTCCAATTTCGGTAACTGCGCGTGGCGACCCACGATCCTAATTCTTAGGAGTGGCAGGGTGTGACGGGTCAGGGGGGGTGGATTCATCCCCCCACAAGGACGTAATCCCCAAGAGGCTGTGCGGTTCGCTGATGAATTATTGCCGTCTTCAAATAGTTTGCCTCCGAGGTTTTCCTTTCGGCTCTTTATTTGCTGGAGCGCCTCTCCCGACGAGGAAACTCCCGAGTTGTTAATGGAAAGTTTGTTACGGGGTTTCGCGTTTCGCTAAACAAACAAAAAGTCGTATTGTTTCTTAGGCGGAGTCGGACCGCGCGCGCCGACCAAAACTTGCCAGCGTTTACTTTGTCGGGCGCATTATCCTCCCCATAATTGCCGAAATTAATTATACGCGCTTCTGTGAGAAACTTGTTTAAATTTCGTGCGGTTATTAATCGTTAGATTGCGGCGGCGATAGGTAACTGAAAACGACGCGAAACGTCGTGCGATATCGCATCGTGACCACTACACAACAAGATGTAGTAGTGGGCGATATAAATCGATACTATAAAAATATCGATACAATACGCGATAATATCGCTTTCATCCGATATTATCGAAACGCCTAGTATCGAATGTAATATCGATATATTTCATCCGATATACCAAAAATCTACTTAGTTATTCCTTTAAATGTGCAACACTGTCAAATTAAGTAACAATAAAAACAATATTTTATACATTATTGATAAACTAGCCTTTGCAATAACGAAACGCAGACATGAGATACTCTCCGCGACGCGGCAGCACTGGTAGTAGTAGCATAGATAATAGATAGACCATAGAATCTATCTATGGTCACTTGTTTGTCTAGTCATTCATTCAATGAATTGGTTCGGTCATTGGTTTCGTTCGTTTTCAGTTCAGTGCGCGCTGTCACTGCGCAAACATAACCTATACATAAACGCTGTCTAATTTGTTTATTACATTTTATGAAAGGTAAATTCCGTAAAGTGTGTGTAGTGATATTAAGTACTATAATAGCTATTAAATATTGCATTGAAAAAGCAAGCTGTGATAATAATTTTGTGTTTTGTTTACCCAACTGTCTACGGTTCATAAAGTAAGTATGTGTTCTTAACCTATCAAGTACTAAATAATGGAATGTGTAAGTACCTATCTTTGTGCGTGAAATGTGAATTTAACCGAGACTTATAGTGTATTTAGTGCATTGGCCATTTTGTTTTAGTCGCTAAGAAATTTATTTCGATGAATTTGTCTTTATTTCATTAATTTTTGTGACTTTGGATTTTACTCGCGCATTTTTTTTCTCTTTCAGGCAATTCTTTTTCTTACAAAAAAAAGTATTGTTTGGAAATATTTCGAAAAAAATGATGAGAAATCTGCCGGATGCAAACTATGTCAAAAAAATCTTAAAACGGCTGGAAGTTTTCAAAAGTAACAACAGTGTTGCCGTTACAAAACATTCTGATTCGGATTTGTCCGATTCAATCCCCAATACTTCGAAACAAGATACTATCACGATATCGGAATCTTCCGTAAACGAACATCAACTGTTGTCTTCAACTTCTACGTCGTCTTCAATGGATTGTAGTGAAGATACTTACACAAAATACTAAAACTGATCAAAAGATGGATTATGATAGGGGGTTGTCTTTGAAACGCCAGAGATCAATTGACAAAACTAAAACAATTAACAATGCGATAATGTTTATGATCTGTAGAGACAATCAACCTTTTTCATTAGTTGAAAATGAAGGTCTCAAGGTAACGGCGCCTCATTATAAGATTCCTAGCAGAACCTCTGTGACACGCTGGATAGATGAAAAGTGTGACGCATTATCAACAGTAATAAAAAATAAATTGTTATCTCGGTGTAACTGCTCATTTTGGCATCGGAATTGATTTCATGTTGTAACTTTAGGTGTTTACCACTTAGATGAAAGGCATACTTCCGAATACATTGCACAAACGCTCACCAAAACATGTGAAGATTTAATACTGATAAGGTCACAGCAGTAGTAACAGATAATGCTGCAAATATGGTGAAGGCTGTCGAAATTGCATTTGGGAAAAAAAAGCATATCCCTAGTTTTGCGCACACACTTAATTTAGTAGCTCAACATATTTTGGGAATTGGGAAATCGAGCAGGTATCAGCATTAGATATTGCTACAACATTAGATCCAAGATTTAAAAAACTTCATTTTGAAGATGCCATGGCGTGTGCAAATGCCGTCATTAAAATTAAAGAGATGATTAAAAAGAATCGCCAGGAATCTGACTCTGACAACTCAGACAAAATCAGTCTATCATCGGATCTCTGGAGTGATCGCCATAAATTGGTTCAGCGGAATTGGAAAACCAATAATACCAATGAAAGTCTTTCAGATGAGTTATCGCTTTATTTGAGGACTCCAGTGAGTAGATTTAACGAAAACCCATTAGAAGTGTGGGCAGACTATAAAATACAGTTCCCAACGTTATGCAATGTGGCATTTAAATATTTAAGCATGATGGCTAGCTCAGTTCCATCTGAACGACTTTTCTCTTACACATCAGAGAAGCAGATTGCTAGCCAAAAGGGTCAATAAAATTTTGTTCTTGCGAAGTTTAGGGATTTATAAATCTTTCACTTTTGTGTCGTATGGCCATTGATTTCATTTGCATGATTCAAAAATAAAGTTGACTTCTTTGTCGATCTAGATGTTGTGTTTCATATTAATAATATCAACCTTCCCTATTTAATATTGTAAACTAGTTTAATACGAGTAGGTAGGAAATTACTTACGATATTTTAAAAATATCGATATATATGTTCGATATATCGCAAGATGGATTGTAACATCGACCCAATGTCCTAGTGGTCTCCGATATAAAAGAAGATGTATTTCATACACCTGAAATAAAACGGAAAAAAATTTGGTCGTCAGCTACCTTCCAGTGGGTTGTTTTAGTCTGGTTCGGATCTTTTATTTTATTTTATTGTGGGTTGAAGAACGGCAAGTAGGCAATTGCTCGAATTGAGTGCCGTGGTTCGTTGAATTTACGTTATTATTATTATTATTATTATTTTTTTATTTATTTATACGAACACTTCGTTGACTTTTCTTTTGTGGGAGCCAGGTAGTTTGCTAAAAGTTATCACTTACGTTTATTAATCAACAATTACTACCCGCCAGATCGTTTCGACAACTACAAAAAAAAACAATAACACTAAATAGTAGGCACCAGCGCTGCGCAAACAGTAAATAAATAAATAAATACAAGAGGATCCGAATATCACAAATTATTATCGCTAGTGGATACAACCACAGTTATCGCGCTAGCTCAGTGTTGGCTAAATGAAGAGCAGTAACCCGGTAAATCTGGTGGTAATAGCAAAACCACTACGTGGTACTTATCCGAAATCCTTCCGGCGTGGACGGGCGGTTTTAGTATGGATACCGCGGATGGCGGACTCGCGTCGACGTGGAGGGACGACTAACCCAGTGACCCGGCCGACGGCAGGAATCAAACTCTTTCCCCGAGCTGGTGTACCCTAGTTTTGCTCAACCACTACCCCCTTTACACCCAACCTAAGCATCTAAGAGGAAACAATAATCAAGAGGCCTTAAATGGCGCCTTACCTCCACAGCAGATTCCCGAACCGATGGAGACGCCGCAAACCAGCGAGACCTTCAATGGCTAAACTAATGGTCAGTTCTAGACGTTATTTACGCAACTAACATTTCCGGACCATAGTAGATAACGTATTTTACCCTCGAGAGGCACTAAGCCGCGATGTACAAGCGAAACTTATGGAATTTGCCCACTAAATTACCAGCGATATGCTGTCTTGCTTATCGAGATTGCTACTGAACCCTAAACGATCTCAGCACACGTCGGCACTCCTCCCTGTGCGTATTTTGTCGAAAGATATTTTACGGCAAAATGGCAGTCATAACGCCACAAGTTATGAAAGTTATGACAACTTATCGTTATTTCACTTCAATACTTCCGAAATAGTTCTTTACTGAGCTGGAGGAAGTTCCAGGTTTGTTATCTTATCGGTGGACTCAATAAATGAACTGTGATACGTTGCCAAAATTTTGCACACACCAATCGATCAATCTCAGGAAATTGATTAAATTAAATTACACGAAACATGGACACATTTATTAAAAACAACCAAAACAATGCTTTAGGTTAAATAATATCAACGGCAACTTATTTAACCTTTGAATTAATTAAAGCTAAAATTTAATACTTCATTAAGTACAAGCTCAAAGTTAAATCGAAGAACACTTCCTTCATTTATTTCAATTTAAATTCAGTCACCGTTAATTCGATTAATTTACTTAAATAAAAGATGGGGAGAGCGAAGTATCAGCTAAACTTCTCATTATATTAGCTCTACGATGTATATTTAAAGTACAAAGATTTCTAACCTTCATTTAATTAGATGCTTTGTTATGAAGAATAGCGCAGATCAATCAATAGTACAAAAAAACTAAGTTGCTGGTAATGGGGAAGGTGGAACAAATTTTTATAAAGCTGGAACTGCCTGTAGTTCCTTTTCAACATACTAAAAGTCCCCGGATGTAGCTTTGACCAAAAGGCCGCCATCTTGAATATCAGTACTTTTGCACAAAAATGTTGTATCTCTAAAACTACCACATATATCAAAAAATGTCAAGAGAGCAAAATTGAAGGGCATAAAAAAATACAAAACACGTAGGCAATATGTATTTCCAGCCTTTTACCTAAAATCCTGTTAAAGATATAATAGCTACAATTTTTTTAAAATAATGAAAATTTGCAAATGTACCAAAAAGTAGTCCCAATATCTACTGGACAATAAAAAAACAAGATTTTTTTTGTCGGGTTTCCGTTTTTGACCGACTATAGTAGGCGTACATCTACTCACGTTTAAAAAATAGTTTTGTTGAACGGTAAAAGTAAATAATCAAATTCGTTGTTTATTTGCTTGTTTGATTGGTGTTGAGTATTTACTTGAGGTGTTGAATAGAAACATTGTCAGGACAAACAAATACTTTGTATTGGAGAAAGCTCATTTCAAATTAGTCAGAAAAAGCAAAATTGCTGCTACTTTAAGCGAGAATAGTAGGAGAGCACATTATCAGCTACGTTGCACTTAGATGTAAGTAAAATCAATAACCCTTTTCACTATATGGTTATTAAATTGCGAGGTCAATAGCCTACGATGTTGTCTTCGCGGCCGTAAGATTCAGGAAAACTGTGATAGTTGATTTTTTTGTTTCAGAATATCGGATCGGAAGGGCTTAAAACGTCGAAAAAAGCAATCGAGGATCGAAATAATTGTATGGGAGAATAAAACTGAGCTTCATGTCACGTAAAATGCAGAAGGGACTACACTAGACCAAGTAGTGTAAAAGCGTCAAATAATCCTCAGAAAAATGTAATGGAAGGGTCAACAGGTCTACATTTAAGAAGTTCCAAATCCGATTTCAACTTTAAATAGGCATGTATTTTTTGCAATAAGAAATTTCTTCATAACCGTGAAAATCGAGCTAATAAAACCAACATTGGAAGTTAAAAATACCATCATACAACAGTGCGAAAGAAGAAAGGATCAATGGGGATTTCAAGAAAAGAGCCGCATAATATCTCAAATAGATCTGGTTGCAGCGAAAGCACGCTATAATCGAAGACCGCGAAACGACTTGGTAGCCCAGAAGATGCAGAAAGTGTAGATGCTTCCAAAAAATTATGTCAATATTTAGATGAGAATAAAAAGGAAATATGCCAAGTTTATCTTAGTTTATCTTAGTTTATCAAAAGACGGAAACATTTTTTCCACCCAACTCCAAACCATAATCTACGAAATATTTCCGAAAGAAAATTATGGAGCATTATAAAGGAGACTTAGTTATCAGTGATAGCCCTGGATATCCCACTGCCTTTTGCTTTAGATAAAATAGCGATGATCTGATAAAAGAGGCCTGGCTGGACAACTCATCTGATCAAGATAGACGTTAATGTATAATTGAGAGCTGTGCAAGGATTTGAAGGGCGGAAATAAGGTCCATTGAGGAGTATCAAAGTGCTGAACAAATCGCCACCGGAGACATAGAAACCATATCTAAAGAACCTTTACTTTTCCTTTCCATTTTATACTAACACAAAATTTTTCTTTTCTACTCCCGCCTGTAAAATGCCTGATTATACTTTACCACTCACTTTCGTTTCCCACGCATCCGAGCCACTTCGGACATTTCCGCGATTTTACCTCGCGGGTTTGGGAGCAATCGGATGTTTTCGGAGATGTTCCCCACGCCTCGAATTTTGACGTTTATCAATTCTGACGGTCATGTCAGTGAATGTATTCGTGTTGTTCTGCGAAAATGTATCCAAAAACTAACGGTCGTAGAAAAAAATACAGTATGCAACAAGTGCGGTAAACTGCGTTCCGCTCGTGTCAAATAAATTCGTGAGTCAAAGGCCGTTTATCGCACTTGTTGCATAATATACTAATTTACCACAAGTTTTACCACCAACAACAAAAGCTTCAAAAAACCATCATTTAAGGGTATATCTTCAGTTTCAGAACTGGATAGGAAATCATGGGGCTAGACGAAAAAAAAAATTGTTGTGCCCTGTGATGTCATCGACAGCTCCGGAATTTGTGTTGGAAATGATATTTTGTTCACGCAAAGCAGGATGTAATAAGCTCTGTGGCAATTGTATATCATGTACCAACTCAGGAATTGATTCGGCCGACCTTGATGAAAATTAATTCGTTCTTTTCTGTCGCAATGGAAATCGGGGCATCCAAATCCAAATCCAAAGATTTTCTGACATGTCAGTTATAATATTCCATATCTAAAATCATTCTCATTTGTGTATTTCATTTTGTATTTATTCATAGATATTGCAGCTTGCTGATATCACAATAACTGTTGCAAATTTTCGCTATTTAAAAAAAAACGTGGCTATTATATCTTCAATACGATAGGTAAAAGGCTGGAAATACATATTTCCTACGTATTTTTCATGCCCCTCAATTTTACTCTTCTGATATTTTTTTTTTGCGCAAAAGTACCGATTTTCGGAACTTTTTTGAAGCCCTTTGGTCAAAGATACATCCGGGGACTTTAGTGTGTTAAAAAGGAAGTATAGTAACACCTTTTCCAGGCAGTCCCAGCTTTATAAAAATTTGTTTCAATTAAACATTTATTTGTATTGTACTACAAATGGACGTAAAAACATATAACATATTTAAATTACACTAAATTTATAGATATCATAATTAAATAAATCATAAATGCCTCACGTGGTCCATTCAGTCGAGTGGAGGAAAATTTTAATATATGCTTTTATGCTTTATGCTCATTAATAATATTTAATGAAATGAATGAAAATTTAACATTTTAACAAAGCTCCAGTGTTTAATCGAAGAACGCGCAACCGAAATTAAATTAAATCTCTGGCATTCCTTACAAGATTCAATTATTTTAAACTTAAATGTGCTTCTAAATTAAAGTTATGAAAAATATATCCAATTTAATTTATTTAATTTAATTAATTTAAGGAAATGAATGAAAATTTAACATTTTAATAAAGCTCCAGTGTTTAATCGAAGAACGCGCAACCGAAATTAAATTAAATCTCTGGCATTCCTTACAAGGTTCAATTATTTTAAACTTAAATGTGCTTCTAAATTAAAGTTATGAAAAATATATCCAATTTAATTTATTTAATTTAATGAAATGAATGAAAATTTAACATTTTAATAAAGCTCCAGTGTTTAATCGAAGAAGGCGCAACCGAAATTAAATTAAATCTCTGGCATTCCTTACAAGATTCAATTATTTTAAACTTAAATGTGCTTCTAAATTAAAGTTATGAAAAATATATCCAATTTAATTTATTTAATTTAATGAAATGAATGAAAATTTAACATTTTAATAAAGCTCCAGTGTTTAATCGAAGAAGGCGCAACCGAAATTAAATTAAATCTCTGGCATTCCTTACAAGATTCAATTATTTTAAACTTAAATGTGCTTCTAAATTAAAGTTATGAAAAATATATCCAATTTAATTTATTTAATTTAATGAAATGAATGAAAATTTAACATTTTAATAAAGCTCCAGTGTTTAATCGAAGAAGGCGCAACCGAAATTAAATTAAATCTCTGGCATTCCTTACAAGATTCAATTATTTTAAACTTAAATGTGCTTCTAAATTAAAGTTATGAAAAATATATCCAATTTAATTTATTTAATTTAATTAATTTAAGGAAATGAATGAAAATTTAACATTTTAACAAAGCTCCAGTGTTTAATCGAAGAACGCGCAACCGAAATTAAATTAAATCCCTGGCATTCCTTACAAGGTTCAATTATTTTAAACTTAAATGTGCTTCTAAATTAAAGTTATGAAAAATGTATCCAATTTAATTTATTTAATTTAATGAAATGAATGAAAATTTAACATTTTAATAAAGCTCCAGTGTTTAATCGAAGAAGGCGCAACCGAAATTAAATTAAATCTCTGGCATTCCTTACAAGATTCAATTATTTTAAACTTAAATGTGCTTCTAAATTAAAGTTATGAAAAATATATCCAATTTAATTTATTTAATTTAATTAATTTAAGGAAATGAATGAAAATTTAACATTTTAACAAAGCTCCAGTGTTTAATCGAAGAACGCGCAACCGAAATTAAATTAAATCCCTGGCATTCCTTACAAGGTTCAATTATTTTAAACTTAAATGTGCTTCTAAATTAAAGTTATGAAAAATGTATCCA